AATGACATCCCAAATAATTAATGAATGAATAACTGTTTCTATTTTGAAAAACTATCACACTCTCAATTCGATAAAATACATAAGTTCTTTTCCTCTCAAATAATAACACATGCAGGTATGTTCCCCTTTTCCCTATTAATAGTTGTTGTTTAATGTTAACATTTAGTTTCTGCTTTTTTTTTTTTTTTTAACATTAACTGTCAGTTTCCATTGAGAAAAAGAGAGAGTACAATAGATAGGGAAAAAAGAAAGAAGAAAAAGAAGAAAAGAAAGAATAAAGAAGAGGAAGTAGAGTAGAAGGAAGAAGAAGAGAAAGAAAAAGAAAAAAGAAAAAAGAAAGGAAGAAAAAAAGACTACAAGAAACCTAATTTCGCTAGAACATCCGCCTCATCATTCTTTAACAGTTGGTTTCATTAATATACCGAACAAAGCTCAAAATTACAAATGAAAGGAGATGAAAAAATAAAGAGACTAAGATCTACTCCCAAAAGTGACCAATCTTAGACTAACAAAACGTATACAATCCTCAGCACCTACGGCCCAAAAATACTAGCAACCTCAGTATCCTTGCTAAACCATACGCAACAACTTCCACAGGAGACAAACTCCCTGGCGTCCCACTCAAACCAGAGAGCAAATCAATACCCTTAATAACAAGCATCCCTTTCAACAAAAAAAATCTTGTAGTGGGTTCTATGATGTTTTTAGGGTGTGGTTTGTATAAGGCTAAGGCTCTAGACAATTAAAGTAAGACACACTTTTAAATAGTTGTTGAAAATTATTGTTTCAGTACATAAAATATTTATGATGACCTAAAAAATTATTTTCATCTCTAATTATAAAAATTTGAAGCTTTTAAAATAGTGTAGATCAAGCAAATAGATAAACACTTGAAACTTGACATTCAAGATAATACGCTGCAAGATGCACCATTTTTAAGACTTGAGGTCCTTTTTTTTTTTTTATATCCATGTATCTTAAGGTCAAGATGATCAGATTTGAGATTTTTTCGGCATCAAAATTTCTTCCAGTGAATTTTTGAGGTGCACCTTAATTGAATTGTTTAGGGCCTCAACCCTATATAATATTTTTTCTTTATAGTTTGGAAAGTATTCAAAGAGACTATTTGTCACGACCCCGCACCCTGCCCCCTACCCTTCCCAACCGGAGGATGACGGAGTGCGGGATCACGACCGAAGGTCGAGGACGTCCCTTAGGTGGGAGTGGCATCAACACGTGTTATAATTGCGAAATCAAATCAAACTATGAATAAATAAAAAAAGACGCATAAAACACATGGCCACAAACAGAGCAAAATTGAAACCATTTATACAGATCCAGTCCTCAAAAATTCCTTTACAAAGGTTCAAGGCGCTACTGGCCCAACAACAAAATACAATTTATCAAAATACATTGTGGCACAGCCACCAGACACCTACAATCAAAAGATTCCTAGACAAAACTTGAGCTTCAAAGATCTGCTACCACCATCCAGCAGTCCACACGCGAGCTATCGGCTCTCACTCTACAAGGAAGGGAAACATAGGGGTATAAGCTAAAGCTTAGTAAGTAGGTCACTATTCTAGTATTCCTAACTATTAACATATATGTCATAACATAGCCGATGGATTGTCAAAGACCGTACTGGCATCAGAAAGTAGAGTCATACATCATAATATATACACTAACAGTATAAAATGAGTATTATTCAGAAGTCGAAGTATTTATTATTTCCTGGAACGACTGTTACATTGATGCTTATCTCAGTCACAGTCAGGTAGCCATACAGAGTACTTAATTTAAACATACAGAAACAAAATCAAAATCAGAAATAGAATCAGAACCAAAATCATGTACAAAATCATTTACTCTCGAAGTAGAAGTCACATTGATCAAGTTAAGCCAATCTTATAACTTGAAACTTCTACCCTCATTCGGGAGGGCAGACAATGACAAATGGAGGTCCCATTTCGTAGTGTCCTCACTCACACACCCGATCCTCAGCGCGCTTTAGGGTTTTGATAGGCTGAGGCCTTGCAAGACACGACTCTCTCCTTGCGCCTTTAGGCGAGAGGGCGTTACAGTACCATTGGAGGACCCAATGCATAGTACCCATAATAATTTGGAGGATGCGACCCACTCTGTTATTTATAGTTATCTCTCGACTCCACTCCTATCATTGGAGTCGGGACAGAATCAGAACTTACCAGCAAAACAGAATATCCACTACCAATGGATGACCTATTGCGTAGTGGTCAGAAGTCACATATATCAGGGTTCACATAACATAAACAAAATATCCACTACCAATGGATGACCCATGCGTAGTGGCCAAAAGTCACATATATCAGAGTTCATATAACAGAAACAGAATATCCACTACCAATGGAGGACCTATTGCGTAGTAGCCAGAAGTCACATATATCAGAGTTCATATAACAGAAACATAATATCCACTACCAATGGAGGACCCATTGCGTAGTGCCCAGAAGTCACATATATTAGAGTTCATATAACAGAAATTAGAATATCCACTACCAATGGAGGACCCATTGCGTAGTGGCCCGAAGTCACATATAACAGAGTTCATATATATATATATATAGCATTCATTCATTCATACTTTACTCTTTTCAAAAGGTCAAGAGCATTCAACATTTGTGGGATCATAAGCATGCTATTTAAATTAGCTTGCACAATGGATTAAGCTGTGTTTAGAAAGAGGCATCGATGCATGACATATGCATAATTCATATGCAACTTAAAATTTACTGTTGTCCTTATCAATCATGGGCATATACAAAATAAGGGATGGCACCCTAAATATGAAGGGAAATTCAATTTGCTAACTAAACAATACCTGATCAATTGAGGATTCAGCATATCGTTTTGAATAGTGACATACGTTCACAATTCGAAACATAACTTGCAATCCAGCTAGAATTTCAAAACAAATTAAACATGCAATTTTTAGTAGGCATTCAGATTTTTCAAATGGCTATAGTTTTGGAGCATATGGATCCTGTTTGGCCAGCCAAAATTCATGGCCACATAAACCAAAATTCTGAGTTTCTATAAAGTCTGTCAACAGTGGCATACTGGAGCATTCTTAAATATAACTCCTCATTTACACAAAATTTGGACAAGGTTAAAACATGAAAATCATAGAAGAGTCATGAATCTATCAAATGGTTACATTTTTGTGTCATTTGGACTTCAATAGCTCAGGCAAAGTCTTAGTACAACATGAGCAACATTTTTGGAAATTATCACAGTCTGCTAACAATGACATACATGCATAAAATCAAACATATCTTCCAAACTAGCAATAATTTCAACTGGATATAAACATCAACCTCAAAATAGACTCGGAGGTCTTTCAAATGGTGGTGATTTGAGGCCAAATAGATATCATTTACTTAGTTAAAATCTCATTAGACGAACATGTAAAATCCCTGAAAAACCACAGTACAACCATGACATCCTTTCCAAAATCATCTCCTAACTCTTAATCTATACAGGGTAACAAAATGAAACCGATTTTAACTTGAACTAGACTCACAAGAGTATCATCCCATAGAAATAGGGCCATCAAAAGGATTTCAATGCTCATTTTTATAATGCAAAAGAAGGCTAGTTTTCTGAAAAAAGCAATCACCATTTTTGCACATGCTTATACTAAACTAGGCTCAAACCATACTTTATACCTATTCTATGCTTATGGGTCTGCAAGGTAGTGATCTACTTACCTCTTTGTGTACCCAAAGGTGATCCCAAATCTCCTTCCACAGCCCCCCTTCACCAAGTTTCTCACGCTCCTCAACAATGGCACAAAAGCTAAACTTGGGCTCCAAAAACATAAAGTGTAGAGAGAAAGAGTGGTTTTGCCCTTCAAAGGTGGGGAGGTGGCTTTCTATGTTCGCCAAGTGGCCTTTGCATGGAAGGATGGTTGACATTTGGTGCATAAGGCAGCATGCAGCCAACAGGTGACCGGCTTGCTTCATGCACGGCCTTCTCTTATTTTACTCCACCGCGTGCACACTTTCCCTATCGCCTCGCACTCTCTTCCTTCTCTCCTTATCATTGTGTGCCTTCTTCCCTTATCGCTATGCGCTCTTTACCTCTATCGCCCGCGCTCTCTTCTTTCTATCCTTATCACCGCGCGCCTTCTTCCCCTATCGTCACGCTCTCTCTACCCCTATTGTTGCGTGCTCTCTCGCGTGGCACTCTCTCCCCTATCGCCGCGTGCTCTCTTCTTTCTCTCCTTATCGCCACGTGCATTCTTCCCTTATCGTCGAGCGCTCTCGACCCCTATTGTCGCGTGCTCTCTCGCGCGACACTCTCTTCCTTCTTTCTTTTGCTGCGGTGCAGTGACTTCATCATGCTCAAGAAATTTGGATCGTTACACCATTTATTTTAATACAAGAAAGTCACAATCTTTTTTGTCGATCTGATTACAAATCAGATCGATCTGATTTCAAATCGAGTGGTTGTAAATCTGCCGTAGACTAGACTCATAATTAAAGAAAAATTTCTCAAACTTTGTGGTAAGCCCCGAACTATTCAATTTGACATCTAATGGCTAGTTGCATTTCCAACCTTCTAATAAAGATAAATAATCTGATAGTATATATTCCCTTACAGTTTTCGAGATATAGCCCCAACTTCTGTGCGAGATACAAACAGACATGCACAGTACTCGTCTCATTCATCTAATTGCAAATGAATCAAAGCGCTTTTCAACTTGCATTACTGTGGCAAATTTGGCTTTTCTACAATTTGCTAGCATCTCCCTACCTACTCGATCTAACCCAGTTTAATGGACTTTTAGCAGAGTGAGGACGCTCCCAAACAGTCAGTCGTATATACCTAACAGTCGGCAGTTCCCATGCCTACTGTAGGAAAGCTAAATGCCAGTTAAGAGAACCTCCCAAATATTCTAAAGTAACCAAATATATAATATGAAACATGTCATTTAAGATGTATAGTCGAAATATTTGCAAATACCAGCAAACACTGACATGCCGGTTGCTCCAGCCTTCATAATTCTTGGTTAAGAAAATATCTTGTACATAGTACAAATGTATTGTTAGGTACTCAGTCCAAGCATCCACCATCTATGCTTATCTCGAAAGTTCGCTCTGAGTCTGCCCTTTTCTTAAGCAGGAAAGCTACTCATCTCCATTGTGGATAAACACCAACAGTGGATGTTGAGTATGAGCACACAATGCTATAATTTCACTCTGTATAGTACAGGGTCTCCCCCATAAAATAATTTGAAGCCTGCATGATAGCGCTTACAGAACTGTAGTAAAGTTTATAGGAAAATGGCAATGTGTATCTAGGTTCCTGCCTTCCAGCTTCCATAATGTATAATTACGGCTAAGGGGGGAATTTTTTTTTTTTGCGAGAGATGATTATAATTCAAAGTATGCGCATGCACCCCACCTTTAAATTGCTTTAAAGATCACAACTGGAACTTAAAACTATAAAAATTCAAAACATCCATTCAGCTTCTTTTCGGCGGGCATTCAATCCCCATGAATAGTATAACGTTCCCATTTCTTTGTTTGATCATATATCTGCAAGATACCATTGGCAACCCATCAGTTCACAGCTATTGCAAAGCACACAGAATTTCAGATGGGAAGTAGAAAGGAATGTAACTAAACATACCTCCCATCTTGAAGCAGGGAAGATATGCTTGTTCTTCTCATACCAGTGCCTCTCTACCACCTTGCCTGCATGTGACTGCAAAAACCATTGATAGAACTGAGTTCCAAAAACCAAGCAATCCAACAATCAAAGAAACAAAGTTTGATAAACAACGCACCTCATCCTTCTCAATTGTAGCATCAGCTATTGTCCGAACATCCTCATGAACATCAAAGTGGAAAAGCTGCAAGAAAAGACACACAGGAGCCTCTATAAATAAAATTGATGGAAAGTAACTGATAGTAGACTGAGCAGGGTGAAATTTATAGATATTAATGACAGGCAGTTTCTAACAGTAAAAATAAAATAAAAATCACAAGTAGGTTTTAAACAATAATGATAAGACATTACCGGTCCACTTTTACCCCTTGCTTTGTTGATGATTAATTCGTAGAAGCTATGTTGCTGCACTTTCAAAAACCATGGCAATTAAAGCGAGTAAAGCTTTTATCAGAAGGATGATTCTCTGATTCTAAAGATCAATTACAAAGTGTTGATTAGAAAAGCAACTCACATGAGGAATGATTAGGTCCTCCTTGACATACAGTAGGTTCTCTACTGATGTTGTTCGAACCTCTCTAAATTCTGGCGCAAGCTGTTGCTGGACTGCCCTAAGAAATTCTCCTATCGTATCACCTTTACGAACCTGAAGATAACGAGGAAAGAAAGAAAAACGGACGTTCAAGATAAGCAAACTATCAGACTACAGTATACAATAATCCAATGAAGTACTGTATATTATAGTCCACTGGTGCTATCACCATCCAACGAAATGATGGACCCAACATTGTGGTCATGACCTTTTCTGGTGGTGATGAACCAAAGTCTGTGAAATGCGTTAGTCCATAGGATTGTAGCATACTTTTCTGTAGTGTAATAGCAACAAAAATAGAGGGAGGGGGGGAGAGAGAGAAAGAGTGTTAATAACTGGCCTGTATGACCCTTCTATGGCCTGTTCCATCCCAGTAACTGTATGTAATTTCCAATGGCTCATCTGAGATAAAATTCGATAAACCACTTCAGTATGAGAACAGCCAAGCTAGAAGGAAACATAAAATATCTAGCAATTGGCTGCACACGTACTTCGGATCAGTTCTTGTTCACGAAGCCACTGCTTTCGTAATCTTTCACGTTCAGCTTGCTCCTCTGCTTCCCGCTCACTGAAACATTATCCTCAACACCCCTAAGCTCACGCGTTAATTTTTCCAGGACGAAGAAAAGAAAAAGATATATATAACTTTGGCTTCAAATGCCAATGATCCCAATACCTGTCAGGCAAAAAGCTTGTTTCTACAGTTGGATCTTTGCCAAGCTTCCCATGGCCAAGCCTCATTGGTTCTTTATTCTCTGCAGCAACCAATTTACTGGAAATTAAGATAAGGAAACACTACTCATTGTGAGTGAAGCCACATCAGATTTCTGAGAAATCCATGGTGCCACATCAGATTTCTGAGAAATCCATGGTTTAAATCCTCAGAACAAATAAAATAATACTTTTGAAAGATGGTTCAATAGGTCAAGTGTTTGGCTTGTTATGATTCCCAAAAAATATTTTAAGGGTAAGATTGGATTTAAGCCCTCAAAAGTACAGGTTCGTGAGGAGCTCCATGTGACTAATGTATGACACTCAAACCCAAGAATATTAAGTTTCTTATAAGATGAACTTTCTTTGGCTGATAGGCTCATTAAATCCTAATTCATTGCTTCTTTTTTTCTCTCAACAAGGGCATCTTACAGTTTTATCAGAAACTCTTCTAACCTGAAAAGACAAGGCCATTTAATAAAAATTCCTACAAATAAGTTAACTCTACCAGTAAACATTATATGCTGGATATCAGCACTCAAAGCGCCCTCCCACGAGAAGTCTCTCCATCTCTCTACAAACCAGTGTTTTTTTTTACTGTCAAATTGACGCAGCCGAAAAATTACGAGCAGCCAACAAGTGGCAAATGCTGCTGTGCTTTAGAGAGAGAAACAAAAATTGAGAAGAAAATCGCAAGAAGAAAGCACAAATGTGTGGATCCAAGACCTCCACCACACACCACAAGAACAAAGAGAAAAGAGAAAACACACGAGAAGGCTCTCTCTCTCTCTACATGTTAACCGCTCTGGCATCAAACTGAGCCCCTGCCTGAAAATAGATACTGGGCCGTCCGAATGGACTCGGTCGAGTTCTGTACACATGGGAAAAAAGGGCAAAAGGGAAGAAAATAAATAAATAAATCAGGAAAAAACAAGAGAAAATCCAATCGCAGAGCCTCATCGCCCACATGGTGCACCTAGCATTGTATTACCACCAGTTGTCCCATCAGATCAGTCATCAATGCCCCCATAATCTCTCTCCCCTCTCTCTAACCTCTTCAAAATCACTCTCTCCTCTTTCTTTGCTTCTCATATCACCACCACCTGTTGTCCCACACATCAGCCCTCAATGCCCCCAATATCTTTCTCTCCTCTGTCCTGGTTTCTCGTATCAGCCCCCAATAGCTCTCTCTCTCCTCTAAGCTCTTCAAAATCATTCTCTCTTCTCGCACTTCGCTTCTGATATCAGCCTCCAACAGCTCTCTCTCCACTCTCTAAGAAGGAGGAGAAAGTCTCAATTAAGTTCATGGAGAATGAAAGGAGAAGAGGGGTGAAAGCTGTTCCTACTACAATTTGTGTTAATTGATTGAACTTACGACATTACCCAAATAAACTGAGTTGCAGAAGCAACTCACTTTTGGATGCCTTGATGCTTCATTTCCATCGACCTGGGAAAATTGTGAGAGAGAGAGAGAGAGAAGGTTTATTTAAGGGCCTGTTTGACAAGTGGGAGCAGGGGCGGCTGCTTCCATCATTTAGCATGGAAGGGGTGGGTTCTAAAAAGGGAGCCATTTGTGATGCAGATCAAGAGATGGATGGATTCAGCATTTTTATTCTTCTCAATTTTTAGGGGACTTAATTATTTCGTTATTTTTTATTTATGGGTGTGTTTTTATCTTTATTTTTATTAGGGTTAATTCTTAAAATAGGACTAGTCTAGGTTTCTGGGTTAGTTTGGTAAAGCTGTTTTTTTTTAAAGTAAGTGTTTTTAAGACAATAAGAGTCATGGTTTTTTGGAGGTGTGAGTCCTTTTCTCTTAGTTCGAGAAGATTACCTTTAGAGTAAGTTTATATTTAGAGTCCATTTTAAAAAGGTCTTTAAAAGGCTAAGAGGTCACGTTTGTCTTAAGAAGCTTATCTCTTGTATTAGCATGGGGTAGGAAGTTATCTTTTGGAGAGAGACGTAGGAGGGATAGATCATAGTTTGTCCATTAGAAAGGAAGGTATAGAGATTTTCGAAAGAAAAACTTTTAAAAGAAGAGTGGAAGTCTCACTCTAGGTTGGTTGGATTGGTGGAATGAAAAAACAGTTAACGTGTAGAGAGAGAGAGAGAGAGAGAGAGAATTCTCGTGTGTTTGTTTCTTCTCAAATTGTTCTTACGGTGCATGGTGGAGGTCTCGGATCCCCACATTTATGCTTTCTTCTTGCGATTTTCTTCTGAATTTTTGTTTCTCTCTAAAACGCAGCTGTATTTGCCATTTGTTGGCTGCCGATAATTTTTCAGCTGCGTCAGTTAGACAGTATAAAAAGAGCCCCATGAAATGCCACGTTCATCTTGCGGCTTCCATGGGGTTCGTTACAGCAAACACAAATGTGTTTTTTGGTAGAACTCGGAAATCGAAGCTAAATCAAACATGCCCTAAGAGAAGTGAGTTCCAAAGGAAATAGAACAGGGCCATTTCGAGGAGAGAGGGGTTTGCTTAAGAAAAGCGAGTAGTAAAGAAAGGTATCAGGGTCCAAAGGAAGAGAAAAGAGGGAGGAAGGGAGGGAGGGAGGGAGGGAGGGACGAGGGTGAGAGAGAGAGAGAGAGAGAGAGAGAGAGAGAGAGAGAGAC